CAACATGTCTAGCAGCAGGTCACGGGTTCGAATCTCCCTGCGTGTGCTATTTTTTGGCAAAAAAAAGGAGGCAGAAGGATGCAGGTCCACCTGGACCGTGTGGGCCACGCTGCCCCACTTGTTCGCGCCACGTCCTCAGGCTGAGACCCGCTGGTGGGACCGCATCGCCACTTCTTCGAGGTTGGGACCCAATGGTGGGACCACATCGCCACGTCCTTGAGGTGGGACCTGCTGGTGGGACCACGGTGCCACGTCCTCGAGGTGGTACATGAGCCAAACGATCTATGACGATTTAGTTTTGTTGTTTTATGACAATTCTTTTGTTTTCGTCATTATTCTTCATGCCAAAGCTCCGTCACTTGTTACTTATGATGAAGCTAGAAATTTCATCATAGAAAGCGCTTGTTCTGTGATGAAATTTGTAAGCGTCATGACTGAATCGTCATTGATGAACACATTTCTAGTAGTGAAGTTTTTTCATTGTAAAACATTTTGGGTGGAAGTTTCAAATAAACTCTATGTCCGCAACGTTAAGAAAATCCTCGCTGAGCCCACCAGAAGGTTTCCACACACAAGTGTCAGCTCCACATGTTCCTATCACCTGCAACAGGGTAGAACAAACCCTGAGTACTCAATTGTACTCCGCAAGGCTTACCCGTCAGGAGGAAAGAAAAGACTCCAAGGATATGCAAGGCTATCTAGTTTATGGGTTTATTGCATCTATAGGAAACATTAATAAGCATGCATCCTTATATTCAATTTCATTAGCAGTCATCATTAGTTCATTAATTAACCATTCTATGTAAACACCTGTGCTACTTTCAAGCAGGTGGTAAGCAATCAGAACCATTTTACCATCTTTCATATTCTAGTTCTTACTACGGTGCTAGATCGTAGCTAAGTCGTACTGTATCACATGGCGATTCGCAAACCAATGTATCCCAGCTGGGTACCCCGAAACACACGCCCCACTTATACCCCCGACATAAGCAGGACCAACCCACCACTCTCCTGTCAAGGGGTCCAGGTCCTCGTTCAAACTTGGACTCTAAGACCCCACACCTGAGTCTCGGACTTAGTGTGGTGCTTAGACCTCCACCATCCCCGCCTCCAATCAGTCGGCCTAGAAAGAGCCAGAACCCACGACAATAGAGCAACGAGCCTTCTCGCCCCCATAAGCAAGTATGTGCTCAGGATAATAAGTCTGTGACCTGACTATAATCCAATACAACAGACGGTCATCAATCGACATAGGCGGGACAAACGCAACCAGAGCCTCGCTCGGTTACCTAACCAAGTCCAAATCCATATTCAAAGTATGGTCCCGTTCGGTCTCCAATTATTATCCACATATATTCCATATGATAGTAACATGATAATAGTAACAATAATATATTTCCTATCTCTCACGAGTGACAGGCAATCACTCGACTTCTACCGGATCCTATAGCATAGCATTCTACATGATCCTAACATACTAGTAGGACTCATAGGATAAGGATATATATATATATATGCAAGTGGTTTTCATTCAACTCCTTAAAACTTAAAGCACAAGCATAAGATAAAGTGCAGAATAATAGGGGTTATGCACCGGGGCTTGCCTGGGTTAGATATAACCAAGTTAGCTTTCATCTTGGTGGCATGATCATCAAGTCACCATCTTTTCCGCTACTTCGGTCATCTCCACGATCCATCGTTCCTATTATGATATACGCGGATGCAACGTAGAGACACAATTAACCAATGGTAACTGCAACTCTATAATACGATTACGCTCCGCGAGCTAACGAGCTAGCTTAATGACTAACGTACTAGTCTACGTATCCACATCGCCAAGTAAGGCTTGTTTCTGAAAAATGTTTTCGTTCTACAAACCCTCAATTATTTTTGACATTTGATTGATTAAATATATATTTTCGTACTAGGGCTCATTTAGTTACCTTAACAAACTAATTCCTATGAAGCTACAAAAATTACAGTGAGCACCTAAAAATATGAGGAATTTACTGTGAAAGTTTCAGAGCCAATACTATCACCAATTTATCACAACAATTCCTACAAGTTTATATTTTGACAATATTAAGTATCTCAATTTAATTATATAACTCCTAAGAATATTATAAAACTATGTGAACAAAATATATTAGCAGATAGGTCATGATTTTAGGAACCTAACCAAATTAGTTTCATAATTTTTGGACATCGACACAAATTTATCTTGATTTGACAAATTTACCTTTAGAAACTAAATTAGAAAATGCTTTAGAAAATAAAAAGGGCCGGTGGCCAACGATTCGGCCCAGCAGCCTAAGCGGCTCATGCGGGGGAGGCCACGCGCGTAGCAGGATGGCCCACCAAGCGGCCCGCAGCGAGGAGCCCACGCGCGCTTGCCCATTTTGTAAAAGAGGACTCGCACTCTTAGAAAATCAAATGATACAGTGCGGCACTGTTTCACCAGACTAGAGCTTTGCACAAAACACCCCGTGAAATGTTGTCTTTGCAACGGGGCCATCCCCGGCGCGCCTGCTCGCTACGACGCAGCTTATCGGCTGCAATGGTGGTTACGCTGGGCAACCAAGACCCACAACGGTAGGCCAAAAGGGCCGATCACTCATTACGGCTAAACCCATAGGGGTAGGCGGCGGTTAAGGACTTGGCGATGCACAGACATGAGTAGCAGTAGCATGTGGCTAACTACGGCGGTGATGCGCCTGTCCCAACGACCTATGGCACTAACGGGTGGTGGAGATAGCGGGTAAGCACCAGTAGCTCACTGGAATTCATGTTGCGGTGGTGGTTGAGGCGGAGGAGTGATGAGGTGGCCTGGCCACTTGCGACCGCTCTGCGATGCGGTGGCCCGAGTGGATCACCGGCACGTCACCGCACCGCTGAGGACCACCCTAGACAAAACAGCGCGAGCACCGGATGGAGGGGGTCAAGGCGAGTTCATGGTTATAAACAATTGAACTACTACCGCCCCAATCATACCTCTCCACAAAGTTCAAGTTCACGGCGATGTCTCGACCGACGACCATCAAGACGCCAAATTGGTTGACCACAATGCCCAGCTATGCCTTGGTGCGGGTCGGGCTACTAGATAACCTACTAGGCTACTTGCTGGTGTGAGGAATCGAACTACATAGCCTCGAGCAAGGTGAATTGGGAGAGCGGGAAGTGCGGTGCCCCTACTGCTGCCATGTCATGGAGAGACACATGGGCGGGCCAAGCGAGTTAAAACGGAGTGGTACAAGCACATGCTCCTAGCTGACGAGGTAGGGAAGAGCTTGGCGTGGTGCGCATGGCTTGAAGCGGCGAGACCCGAGTGGGCCCATAGGCGTCGTCGAGAGGGACAAGCAAGGCAGAGGAGTGTCACCTCGGTACTGCGACCGGGACCAGATGGCCATGATGCGGTGGCGGTGGCACTGGCTCACGTTAGAAGAACCGGAGGGTGGGTCGGTGAAATGTGCCGCTGTGGCATCGGCCCGGACCTGCGCGCGGCCTAGCGGTACGGCGTGGGTTGGCCAGCAAGAGGCAAGGAGAGGCGAGAGACACGCCACGGCGTTAGCTAACACGTGGCAGCTGCACATGTGCTGCCCTACAGGGAGAAAGCCGTGGCCGGCAACAGCCGAGCCCGGCGCCCGCCACGCGCGTGCACACGGTGACCGCGAACTCTGGCCAAACGACTGCTATCAATGACGTGCATGAATTTTAAAGCTCCGACCAAAACCAAACCAGCTCGGTTCAGACTAAACCAATTTGCCAAGGCTCAAGAGGGTCCTAAAGGCTATCCCAAGGAGCATCAAACGCAAACTTAGATGAATTACCGAGAGAAATAGAGACACACCAAAATAGGTTTGTCAAGCCAGGTGCTGATTCATGAACGGAGAGCGAAAACCTGACCGCAACGCGTTCTAGCGATGTTGGGGAAATTCTTGCGACGCCACGACAACTCCAACCCACTCGGGGACAACACTCTACCCAAGTATTTACTTTGATGCAACCAACTATGCGAAAACATGAAGTTAGTGTTTAAACATTTTTGTTAGAAATTAAATATCAAAATAGCATTGTCTTACTACTTTTCCATACTTAGAAAAGTTAAGGATTTCAATTGAGGTTAAGTAACCATTAACTCTTGTGTCGCAATTTTTTAATAGATCCAAACCTTGTTAACTTCAACCAACAATTACTTCATGCAATAGTCTATACCTTATACTAACCCATAGTAGCAAAATATTTAAGCACTATTTAACTATTTTGCTCAATATAATTCGCTAAAAATGGTACTTTAAACATAAATTCAAGTGTTTGCCGATTTAACGAAAAAGGCTTATCTAAATTCATATTTGATCTTTGAGCTCCCAATAACACTAGTTAACCACATTTGTTTTCACAAATTATAGCTACATCTTTAACTACACCACTTGCTCGTCATCTTTACTTAAGTATTACACACAAGTTATATTTTATTTTTGTTTATATAAATTGTTTTTCATGCCAAACAATTAAAACGACTTATCATTTCACGTGCGTCATAAATTTCTGAAACCCAAAAACTTGTTTAGCTAATCCCTCTCTTACCTCAATCTCAGTGCTAAGCAAGCTCCTAACACCAGGGGTGTTACAGACGCTTGTCCTAGGCCCCACGCACCTACGTGGGGGCCGAACCCAGCCACGCCTGCCGTTGCGGCCCTCGGCCTGTAGCCCATCGGATCTGGCTGCCCGCCGGTGGCAGGCATCGGATCTGGGGGCTCACCTACAGCAGGCGATGGGACGCAGCCGCACGTGTCCTCCATCGACGCTGGGGTGGCCCCCACCACCCAGCCTGCCGGCCGCTAGCCTGGCACCGACGGCCGCCCAAAGCCCCCGCCGGGCCTTGGCAGACAAAGGGCCCGTGCTCTCGTTGGATGCCCCGCCTTTCTACCCTGGTAGAACTATCGGACTGATCTGACTCAAACTATGAGTCCATCGCCTCTTCGGTTGCGCAGCCATCTTACCTCGACATCGTCCGCTGGGGCTCCCTGGCTCGAAGGGCCTTCGCAGATACGGTGGGGCCCAGCTCCCACCCTAGCACCCGAGCCATCGAAGAGCAGCCGGTGGAGGTAGTCCAGATCTCGGCTGCCGCTAGGCCACTGGACACAAAGCGCCACCAGAGGAGGGGGGAACTGCGCTATCGGTGACGGCCATGGGGCAAACACCGCACCACGCGCCAACCAGGAGCGTCTCCCTGTGCACTTGAGGTTGGGGAATCAGGTCGACAACGGCTCTTAGTCTGTCGATGAGCGTGTCCCCACCTACCTCAGGCTTGGCCATCGCGTGCCACCTCACGGCCATCGCTAGATTTTAGTACCCGACGCTAATGGATGGTGGGAGGTCCTATCTCATAATCCTGTTGGCTAGCGGAACGCCTCCGCCGTGAGAGTGCCTCGGCCACATCGACGTCACCGCATCCCAGAAGCGCTATGCGACATGTGCTTCAACTGCCTGTCATACACCCATAGGGTTGCCACATGCCTTCTGTCGCCGATGTGCCTGCACTGCCATGAGTTTCGGCACCTGGCCAAGGACTATAAGCGGCCTCGTTCACCGATGAACGACGACAACAAGTGGCCATGGCACATAGGCTCTAGGAGCTCGAGTGATGTCGGCACTGTGTGTCGTCGGCCGCGCCTGGTTCGTACTAGTAACTCCAATGCTCGGCCAACAGATGACGGCGACCATCGATGGTGGAAGCCTCCTACAGCTACCGATACAGGCGACATGACAACGACCTCTTGCCCACGATGGTCCGATGGAGGCGGGTGGAGCCGTGCCTGCGTCGACTGCTCCTACATCAGTCGGCCGAATGCGGCGGTGGTGGCAGCGAATGAGGCGATGGCAACAAGACGCTGGAGACAACCAGTGCTACACAACACTGACTTCCCCGACGACGCTGTAGCCGACCGCGGCGAGGCCACTGGCACCGCTGCGACGCTGGAAACCATTGCCGCAGCCAACTGTGCTATTAGGGAGGGTCATAGTGAGCCCACCAGCAACCTCGATGCTCGCCCGGCGGACCACGGTGCTTCGCGTGGCGCTTGTGAGACCGTGCCAGACACCGTCGTTCCTGCCAGCGGCGGCTAGCGACACCGACGATGAAGGCGTCTCAGGAGGTCGGCACGGGCCGCTTCGACGGTGTCGAGCGAAGCCTCTGCCGCCATTGCTTCCTACTTTACCCAGTTGGACCCGTTGGTCTTGGAGACCTATGCGGGTGCGGGGCCTCTCGCGTGGGTTGACCCGATGCTGGAGGAGCTCACCGCCTTGCTCGTCGTGAGCCAGCCAGCGGGGCCAACAATGCCTTGGTGCCCCACAACTCCGTTGGGCGCCTCCCTAACAACGGAGTCGCCCCCATTGTCGCCTGAGCTAGAGATGCCGCAATTCATGCCACCATGGGTGGGATAGGACGGTGTTGCGAATCAAGCGGCAACTTCTATGCCAACGCGGGTTGGCCATCCGAGCGTCGACAACACGACGCTGCCCGTTTCAATGGCCGAACTAGTGTACCAGCCGATGGCCTCTGCGGCGTACGCTGGTGAGATCTCACCATCATCGGCTGACTTGGCCCCGCATCGCTCCGCTCAGGGCCGGAAATAGCCATGGATGCCTCTGTTGGATTTGTAGGTTACGGAGCTTGAGCTATTGAGGCGTAGCCGTGGATCATCAACTGGCGATGAAGGCCACAACGCTCAACCTCCATCGGCTGAGGTGTCCCTATTGGCACAATTGGAGATGATGCTATGCATCCCGCTCGAGAACCCGTTGCTCAGCAAGCCGAGGCTGAGGAGGTCAAGGACACCTTCAATGGTGATGTCAGTGTGTCAGAGTGGGAGGCTGGTTGCTAAGACCAAGGCCTCTAACCCAACTATCCAAGCACAAAATGTGTTGAAGCAAAAGCTAGGTATCATAGATATGCCACAGGGTCTAGGCCCTATGGCTTTGGATAGTATCAAGGCCTTCTTCGCTGCACTGTGTCACCCTCCAAACAAGAGGCCCTTCGAGCGCTCTTCGCTCTAGACTTGATTCGATTGCCATGGAGCTGAACCTCACTAGCTTCCTTAGCCGCTGAGCTCAGGGCCTGTTGGGTTTTGTCCCTATGCTTGATCCTACTCTTGGTCGCTAAATATTTTCTTTTGTTAATCACAACTGTGTGATCTCTGTCAGTGTTTGGCTCGGTAATCATAAATTACCATCCCAACTTTATTTTGTAAAACTCTCCTTCTGCTTAATGAATACCGTGCCAATGGCACGTTCGAGAAAAAGTGTTGACTCAATTCCTAGAAGTTGGTTTGCCTTTATTGGATAATGGAACAATTCTAAAATGAGTTGGTAATGCGCGAGTTAATTAAGTGAGGAATCAAGATTCGCTTATCATTGTATTGTAATCCCTTAGTCCAGAAAAAGATAATATAATTTTAGAATGGCACGATGTCAAACTTTTTCGATCAGTCAAACTTTAGATACTTTAATTAAGGATAGAATCAGAAATTCATGTTTAACAAATAGAGGTAGTATAGATTTTCGTGATCATTAAGCTCTAGAACTAGGGCATAGAAACATGAACAAAGCTAGTGCTGCTCATACCTTCGTTGGATGAGTTAGTCATTAGGCTAGCTGATGAGCTGATGACCTGTGCCTGTTTGAAGCAGGCGAAATGCAGTAGAGGCTAGGTGTGGGAAAGATGTTCCTAGCGCAGCAGCAGCTGCATGGTCAGCGGCTTAGAGAAGTGTTTCTTTCACTAGATTTCACTCTCTCATTACTAGGAATTTGCACTTTCATGACGAATAGCTTTCATCGTTGAAGAAGCCAAATTCGTCATAATTTTAGTTTTATGATGAATTTATGACGAAAAATGGCTCATCATGGAAAGCATGTCATACTTGAACTTCCATGACAAATCTAGAAATTCATCATAGAAGTGGCTTGAACTGTGATGAAAAATTTACAGTCATAGAACTATTTTGGCATGCGTGGCGGGGGCAGCCACGCTAGCGGGTGCTTCTATTGGAGATGCTTTCCATGTGTACATGCTATAGCCGGTTCCATTGGAGATGGTTCGGGTCACGTGTCACCTTATTATTGGACAACGTGGCCATCTCTGGTTCTTGCACATTTTGTGTTCTTAATGGACCACGTGTCGGGTCCCTGTTGTTTCTCATATCAGTTTTCTATTGGCACACGTGTAGTGTTATGGATGGGTCACGTGTCACTTCTTCATTGGACCATGTATTTTATTTTTATTGGTCAACGTGGTCGTTTCTTATTCGATCATGTGTCATGGTGCTGTCCATCCACGTTTTGTTTTTTATTCACCCACGTGGCTTGACGACTTCCTTCCATGTGTTGGATTTTTACTAGCCCACGTGTCGTGCCATGACTATTTCACGTGTCATGCACTGTTTTGTCCATGTGTCACATTTTTATTTGATCACGTGGTCTGCCCAGGTTCTACCATGTGCTCAACAATCAATTCATCATAAAAGTAATTCAAGATCGTCCCTGCTGCACATATTGACATCGTTCATGAGGCTGGCCAGTGTGTTCTTCTTGTTGGGGACCTCCTCTATTTCGTCAGTGTGTAGTAGGATGAGAGCTTGCTCACTAATGAGACCACTAAATAGGAAAAATAATCCAACAAAGATCAATTAGTGAAGTCCACAACTCATACCAAAGTGCAACTTTAAGAACCATTAATAATTTTCATGGTACGACCTTGTGGGGGTACGACCCTCGGTATCCACAAGACAAGACATGGGCCGCACCATCAGAGGTGGCCCAGCCCACAAGATCAAGGTGTGCATGGCGTTGCTCGGCGTGCACCGCAAGATATTGTATAGTACCAAATAGGCTACTTTCCTTGTAACCCTACCCCTCCAGAGTATATAAGGAGAGGTAGGGGTCCCCTAGGGATATATGATCCATACATTTCATATTCAATACAATACACCAAAGACACATGACATAGGGTATTACGTCGATCAGACGGCCCGAACCTGTCTAAATCGCTGTCTCTGCGCCTTGTGTCACCATCCGGTTCCTGATTACGCGCACCCCCACCGACAAATCTACCATCGCGGGATACCCCTCGGTGGACTGTCGAGCATCTTTTGTCGACAGACCTCATCCAAATTTAGAGTAGAACCACATAGATATATATAACTCAAACTAAAGTAGCAGTTAATGGAGCTGTAACCATTACAATTTTAGCTAAATCAAGTCTAACCATCACACTTATAATCAGTACATGAGCTCAGAGCTTCTTTCATAGGAGACAGACAAAGATTAAGAGGACTACAATTACAACAGTTTTTAAGGAGAAAGAGAGTGGAGCAGCTGTTGGGTTTTGAAGACATAAGTCATCATCATGAGCTAAGGGTGGATTTGAATTGGTTCTCGACTTGAAGGCAGCAATTCCATCTTCATATGAGTTGTACTTTTTATAAGAAGTACCAGAAAACCTATGAACTTGTTCCTGACAGTCAGGCCAGTTGTAGTAAACTCCTGGCTGTCGGTCGTTGAACACAACATAGCAGGGACTCATCTCAAATCTACACAACCCAAACAGGCTGCGTCAGTTTTCACAAGTTCAAAATACCATAAGGACTCACTAGTGGCACTGGAGCATATGAAATAGAAATATAGAATCAAGCAAGCACTGGACAGAAAAACTAGTTTAAGGCAGAAGCAAAGGGCCTATTTCTTTGCCTAAACAGATAGATATAATCAAGCTAGCACTTGATAATTAACAGGCCTAGTTGCACATAGGCATTTACAATAAGAACATTGAACATATGTAGAAAACCAAGACATCAACAGAAAACAAACCAGTGCCACCTCCCAGTTCTTTTCATCATCATTGGTCTAACCAGATCTCTAACGCTAGAATATTTCTTGTATAGTTCATGTTCAAGCAAGGACCAAAACAGTGAAGTGAACAGGAAAAGGCGAGAAAGGAGACATGTGGATTGGATCTATCATCTCTGCTGTGGCACACAACGGACATGGACGCCAATGCTGTCGCGCTCCACCGGGAAGCACCGCCACCTAGCCTCAAAGGGACTCCTGAGCCACCACAACAGACCAGGATCCTCCACCTCCACGTCCGCCACCGCCATCGCAAGTCCAGCGGGCATAGATTTGTTTCCACTTGTAGGGGGTATCCAATTTAGGTCAACATGTAGGGCATCCACACAGATAATAGGTACTATAGGTACTCCAAATAGATATCAGCACATCTAGACGTCTAGCGTAATGGTAAAGATGTTCCATTCCTTGGTCCAGAACCTGGGTTCGACTCCTAGGTATCAGACCTTTTTTGAGAAATTAAACCATGGCGGCACACACGGTACAAGTGACACGCAAGCCGTCGGGTCCCACAGGTCGGATGGGGATGGAGAACGGTCCCATAGGTATACATGACGAAGATGGAGAACAGTCCCACAGGTACGCGTTACATGTAAGCCATCTAGTCCCACAGATCGGATGCAGAAGGGTCCTGTAGGTACACGTCGGATGGAGAAAGGACCGAGCGAAGACTTTTATGACGAATTACAAGCGCCATGGATGAGTAATTGTAGGTCCCATAGGTACACATCGAATGGAGAAAGGACTGAGCGAAGACTTTTATGATGAATTGCAAGTGTTATGGCTGAGTAACTGCAGGTCCCACAGGTACACGTCGGATGAAGAAAGTACCGAGCGGAGACTTTTATGACGAATTGCAAACATCACGAATGAGTAACTGCAGGTCCCACACATCAGATGGAGAAAGGACCATGTGGAGATTTATGACAAAGTGTCATTCATTATAGATCGAAAACTTTGTCATAGATGTGTAATTAGTTTAGTGACGAAGCCCTGGTCGTCACAGTCGGCACAATGGTACAAGTGACATGCAAGCCGTTGGGTCCCATTGGTCAGATAGAGATAGAAAATGGTCCCACAGATACACGTGACTGAGATGGAGAACGGTCCCACAGGTACATGTTACACGTAAGCCATCTGGTCCCATAGGTCAGATACAAAAGGGTCTCGCAGGTACATGTCGGATGGAGAAAGGACTAAGCGGAGACTTTTATGACGAATTACAAGCATCACGGATGAGTAACTGCAGGTCCCATAGGTACATGTTGGATGGAGAAAGGACTGAGTGGAGACTTTTATGATGAATTGCAGACATCACGGCTAAGTAACTGCAGGTCCCACAGGTACACGTTGAATGGAGAAAGTACCGAGCAGAGACTTTTATGATGAATTGCAAGCGTCACGAATGAGTAACTACAGGTCCCACATGTTGGATAGAGAAAGGACCATGTGGAGATTTATAACAAAATGTCGTTTGTTACAGATCGAAAACTTCATCACAGATGAGCAGGAACAGTCGTGCGAGATTTTTTTATGACGAAGCATATGTTGTTTTATGACGGTTTTGTGTGACGGTGCCTGATTTCAACATAGATAGGGAGGGATGGAGGATTGTCACCATTGATCTATGATGAAACATGAATATTCGTCAAAGATAGCGATCTTCTATGACAGTTTTGGATTCGTCATTAAGATTTTTGTCATAGAAGTGGATATTCCTAGTAGTGACTCGAGATGGCCTAGGGTGCCTCTCCATTTAACTTTGCCGCTGCACACTGGGGGGCTTTCCTTGTAAAAAATGGTGGTTGCTTGGTCAAGTCCTTGGCTCTGATAAAGGTAGAGGACAAACCAAGTAGTTGTTGGTCTTTGGAAGTTTTCCTGACTTCCTATCATGCATAGTGAGTACTAAAATAGCATGAAACCAATTTAGTGTTTTCACACTTGGTTCTTATGAACAATCCAATATTCTCCCCCTCGATCACAAGCCTTACTATCATAAATTCATTTCTCAACAAAATGATACACCAAGACATAGGATTACAATAGTCAATTAAGTACCTTTGAACTCTAATGACTATAGTACATCGTTCCATTTCAAAATGAACTTGTTTGGACATTATGGGAGAATGCTACAAATATGCCCCGCTTTATTC